GTGTTTGGGGCATGACCTGTTGGGGATTGAGCTGAGGTGGTTGCCTGCCTAACCAGCTAACAGCCCCAACTGAAACACCTCTGGGGGTCTGACACCTAGGGTGAGGTGGTTCACCTGTGGGGTTGTGGTGGTGGGTGAGGAGGGTGGCAGCAGCAGAGCTGAGCTCAGGGTCTCTGCAGGAACCAGATCTCGTTGTGGCGGTTGGCCGCGGCTGGGTTAGTGTAGCCCGCAATGATGAATGTGTCCTGCAGGCACAGCTCGGGGCTCTCCAGGATGGCTGCCAGCAGGTTGATTTCTCTCATGATGGAGTCTTCATTGGTGATTCCTCTGAAGCTCCTGCAATAAGCAAATTCTTTCTAAACACTACAGTTTTTCTAGAGCCTTCTGAATTACTTGGTTGTGTTTCACCCATGATAGACTGTGATTGATCTCAGTTTTAGCTTAGAATTTTCAGTGCCATGTTGGCTGCTTTGCTCCCAACTACACAGAACAGTCTGTGTGTTATCACACATTTACAGATGGTTCATTTTACCAAGTAAATTTCAAGTCAATGTTTAAGGAAAGACTTGGTGCTATGGTCTAGTTGACATGGTGATGTTAGGTCACAGGTTGGACTCCATGACCTCAGAGGTCTTTTCCAATCTAATTGGATTCTGTTAACCTTCTCCTGATATCCAACCTAAACCTGTTGCAGTGCCTAGACACCCTCTGAGGGAAGAACCTTTGCCTAATATGGACTGGTAACCATTTTTTCCTGGATATCCCAGTTTCACAAACCAGTCAGCCTTTAGAATTCCTGAAAATCAAGTTTTACCATTTATTACCTCTTAAACTTGGTTAAAAAGACATAACATGCCCAGACTGAAGACTGCATCTCTCTACCACTTTTACTTAGAAGAGAATTAAGACCTTTCTTACCTACTATAGACAATAGTAGAAGGCCATTCCTCGATGATGATGTCGGAGTCAAAGGGATGAGGAGGCTCCTCCTGCAGCACCTCAGGCAGGTAATAGGCTACAGTCACAGACGGTGTCATCGCCGACTGGGACTCATTTGTGTGCACTATGGTCACAATGGGGATGGTTATCCCCAAGTACAGCCCTGAGGAGACACAGGGAATCTCTTAGAAGGTATCAAAGAAGGTTTACACACTGTGCTTGACTGCTGAACTCATCATGAATCATTTAAAGTGAGTACCACAGAGATATTGACAGGATTGCAGTAGGATCTTTTAGACATTGGGGCTGTGTAATCCAAGCAGGACACAGCAGTGAGGCACTGACACAGGTTGCCCAGAACTGTGGCTGCTCCATCCCTGGGAGTGTTCCAGGCCAGGTTGGATGGGGCTTGGAGCAACCTAGGCTAGTGGAAGGCCTCCCTGCCCATAGCAGGGGGTGGGATGAGATGATAAGGTCCTTCCAACCCAAACCAGTCTGAGATTCTCCTGGACAGATTGTATTGTGGAAAGTCTCCCCGTAGTCAGGGAGTGGATTTGGGATTAGCTAATAAAAGCATCTCCCCAGTCAGGAGGAGCCAGTGCAGACATCTAACATTCCAAGTGTAATGTAGAATCGTGGTAGGAATTACCTGAGGAGTTTTGCTCACAGATGTACCTCATGAGCTTCATGAAGCCAAGGCAGATGCTCTGCTCATACTGTTTCTCCTTCATCTTGATACAAGCCCACTTGGCTTTCCCATACTGTCGCTTCTCATAGAGCAGGTCTCCCAGCTGCAGGCACAGAGTCATTTGGGATTCCAAGTTAACAATCTAAAAAGCCCAAACTAGCAAGTAAAACTTGAGCACAACAATATCTGCATCTAGTTTTCAACTGTCAGTGACGTGAGCTTGAAAGCAATGTGGATTTCAATCCTTCCTGTGTAGATCAAGGAGGATGTGCTGCTGATCTTGGACCAGCAGATTTCTAGGTAGTTCTCCTTTAGCGTAAGGAACTGTCATCTTGTGGACTGGTATTATTAAATATTTAGTTGCAATTAACACTGAATAACCTTGGTTTTAGCTGCAGCCATTACAGTAGCACTGAGAAATTGCTTTGAAGCATTTAATTACAACATAAACAGTCAGGAGGCCCAAACTGTTAACATGGAACTCACTGAATCAAATTAGATTTATAAATATGAATCATATAGACCTATTTAAAGGAAGTGTGACAAATAAAGGTGTTCATAGATGGTTAGTAAAGGCTTTGCTGCACTATCAGATACTTGTTTGCACATTTCCTGAGCTGGAAGCAATTTGCTGGACATCAATTTTCCATTAGAGGATGAGATGGGCTTGCAAATTGCTGCTTGTTTGATAATGATCCATGACACAGAAGTACATGTTTGGTTTGTAATGCAGATATTCACCTCTTTCAAGTACTCTTTGCTAAGGATTTATTAACATCACTGTGTAAAGAAGCAAATGTACTGGTTTAAATGCAATGGAGAAAATGACATTTTATTGCAAATGTCACAATAACAGGTTAATTTGTTAAATTAGTTATGAAGCATCCCAAAGGCTGTAATTCCTGGCACTCTTCTGCCTTTCCTGATGGCTTTTGTGTAAGGTAGAAGCTAATTGACGCATGTTAAGGGATGAAATATCCAAACTGCAGTGGAGTTAAACATCCTGACTGGCTCAAATGATTTTATGAGGAGCCATGTGAGTGGCAAAAGCAGTGCTCCTAGCTGAGCTGAGAGCTCTACCTTCTCCTTGCGCTGGATCAGAGTGAAGGGGATGGTCTGTCTCTCCTGGGGGTTGTTGTTCCTGGTCAGCTGCTGGATGGGCTCTGCCATGTCTGCAACACAAGGACACAGTGCACACTTCAGACTTA